CTTTTAAGTAAATAACTTAAAATGGGTTTTAAATCTATTCACAGCGTAAAAAACGAGTTTTAATTTATGTAAATATTTTATTGTTATCTTTGAAATTGTTTAAAAGCATTGGAAAGGCATTTAGTTGCCTTAAACGAGTTTTAGTTTATGTAAATATTTTATTGTTATCTTTGAAATTGTTTAAAAGCATTTGAAAGGCATTTATTTGTCTTATCGTATTAGACATTTTGTTAAATACTTTTCTATTTTTTTAATTTTTTTTTGAAATTAAGATAAATGAAAGCTGACTGAAAGTATTTTATCAACATAAAATTTTGTTAATCCTAAACAATATAACAACTTAAAATTTGAGTATTTTTCGGCGCATCCACCATTTTTCTAATTTTGATTTTAATTTTAATCTATAGTAAGTTGTGCTACATGTTTTTAAAATGTATTAAACTAGCGTTTGCGTTTAGTCATTGACTTACCTTTTAGTTAACTTGTGGACATTAAAATTACGACATCGTAACACATAAAGCTTCACGTCTCACTCAAGTCACTCTCGGTATTGCGTTCATTATAGATTTTCACAAAAAACATTAAATTCTTAGATTCTGGTAGTTAATTGAATTTAGTTAACAAAAAGTTTGCTACAAAGTTAAAGTTCTTGGGTTCGTTACCAAATAGAATGAACAAGAGACCAATGTTCTCAAAGTTACGAATTAATTAGAGGCGAAAATTCACACATGAGAGATTGTTTTTTGTTGATTAATTAATTATAAAATAACCTCCTTTAGATCCTTATGCGCACAGTTTTTGGAATAGTGTTCTTTTCTTTTTCTGATGCAAAAATGTGGGATTACTCCCTGTTTATCGTTCCTTATCCCGGGGAAATGATAAAACTTTTCCCCGTAAAAGTTTACGCGTATGCAAATGAAACAAATAATCTGCCATCGATTTTTTGTTAAACTTACCGGCGGCGCCGTCAGCGTCACGATGGCATCATTCAGATGCTTCAAGTTGAGCGTATTTTTGTCTTCGTCATCTTGGTCGTCGTTGGGGATTTGGATGGAGGACTGTCTCGACGTGAAAGATCTCTTCAGGGCTCCGTTGGGGAGAGCGTGCGAAGATGCTCGCCGGAAAGGACAAGACGCCATCGTTAAGACTTTATCGACTCATTTATGTTTCATCGCCGATTATTTATTCGACTAGAATGGACAAAGAAATTTCTGATGAAATTGCGTTGTAGCTATGAGTGAAATATGCTTGAGGAAATCAATTTCTTTGCCGGTTGTGTTTATAATGAACTTTCTCTATGCTGACGATCAATATTTCTAATTGGGTTTGTTAGCTTCTTTCATTATCTATGGATTTACACTACATTTAATTTTAATAATTGCGACTCTAGTGTAGTATAGAAAAATTTTGTGTAAAGGAAAATGCGCTGTAATTAATAACGCAGTTTTTATACTAATTGCTATCATTAGTGAAAATAAAGAAAGAAAATAGCACTTGGTCGGCTTTAAAGCAAATGGATTTACTCGGAAAGCTTTCTTCTCATATTTCACATTTTTATGAAATAAATTATTAAGTTTTTTTTTAATTAATAGGTATTAACAATTTTTTATACATTTTCGTGTTTTTAAGACAGTATACAGGATGCGCCAGAACTCGCGCCCCAGAAAAAATGCCATATACAGTAAGCTACTAGGAACATGGAAAAATAAAAAAAAATATATCTATAAAAATTTCTAAGTTAAGTTCCCCTATTTATTTCTGTTGGAAAAATAATTTTTCAAGTTTTTTTGTTATAGGCTATTAAAAGAGGAAACAAGGAAGCTGTATCCTAAATTGTAACTCTGTTCAATGTTATTTGTGGCTTTTATTGGCAAATTTTTTGTCCCTTTACTAAATAATTGTAAAAAAACATATACAAGATCATCAGTATAATCAATAAATGTCAAAATTTTTTAAGAATTTTTTAAACATTTTTTTTTCATGTTCCTGGTATCTTACCTTAATTTCAAAATCTGAAAAAAATGTAAAATCGTGTTCTATGATAATTAAAAATTGTATTTAAAAATTAAAATTTTAAGGAATATTGTTTTAAGGGATATTAAAAAAAGTTAAAACTTCAAGGTAATCCTGGACTGTTTTTAAAATATACATATTAAAAAAATTAAAATTCATCTTCGGCTTATAAATTTGTGCTGAATTTCAAGGCAGATTAGATTAGATTATTTTCTACTTTATTTTTTTTTATTGAAGATTAGGATGTTTGTTATTAATTTAGGTTTAGCTTAAGATGGGAATAAAATTTGGTGAAACTATGTAAGACATACGAAAACTACGTTAATTCCAGTAATGAAAAAAAAAAAATGTAAGCAGTTGACAACATCGAGTTCTTCGCATATGTTCAGATAAAAAGTGAAAAAGATATTTCTGGAATTGTAAAAGTTTCTAATGTGGACATTAGTATTACCTACGTAGATGAAAGATCAACGATAATAACACCTAATTTCAGAATTTTTAAATTAATACCCAAGAACAACCAACTTTCGATTTTCAAGATGGTAAAAAAACATGAGTTTTGTGGATGCTGTAGGGGATTACGGGAGGATTACGGGAGGTGAGACAACTCTAAAAAATTATTTTGTCTAGAATTCTTGAATGTACTTTTTTAAACTAAACTGAAAAACAGGAGAAAATCCTTGAAATTTCAATAGCTAGAACTCGTGTTCATTTGAATCTGAAATTGTTCTTTAAACTTTTGTTCTAAGTAAACCTTCAAACAAGACAAACTCCTTAAAATATTAATTTTCTTTGGACACTAAAGTTTTATTTTTTATTGCGAATGTGTGTTTAATTGCCAAGGCGATAGCCAAAATTATTTTTAAATGCAAAATTATTTTTGGAGATTAGGCACTTGTACCACAGATTAAGGTTACCTTAATCTATGCGTGAGCAGTGAAAGTCCACAATTATTAATAGTTTACTTCATTAGGTCAGATTTCTCATTTCAATAGTACCATCTCGTTTATAAGCCGCTTGCCAGCATACAAAACCATGAAACAGGAAAAAATATTTGTAGAATCAAATATCGTAATTATAAACAGATACACGTTAGAAACAGGATTATATTTTATTCTCTTGTTTACATTAAGACAATAATCTGACAACACTGTTAGTAATAAATAATAATGTTGGCAAGTACAACACAAAATTGAAGAATAATAAAGATTTTTATTACCAATTTGAAACTCTTTACTGATGATTTTTTGTGACATTAGTGACGATTTCAAAAAAAATATTTTTTTTTAAATATAAAATTTTTTATTAATTTTTGATCACAATAGTTGGTATTTCTTTCATTTCTTCTAGAAACATACACATAAAAGGCATGTTCTTTAACAATGCATTAAAGCTACGTAAATTTTTGATTTCTTTTGTAACAAACGGTGTCACATGACATATGAATTATATTTCCAGCGCAATATATGGGCTGTAACTTAATATCCTATTTCCGTAATAAAAAAGTGCCTCTACGTCTAAAAAACGAAATTTTGACTTTGAACAAATGACTAACATTCCAATTTCCTTAACATTGTACACACTTATTAAAGAAATTACTGTGTTAATTACTTCGTCAAATGTACACAAGAAAGCAAACACCGTCACGTCATCCCTAACGAGTTTTGTCGTGTCTATATACATTGGGTTCACCTATGGGTGTCCCGTGCTGGCATAAAACTTACCATAAACCTGGCAACAAGTCGAAAAAACATCCCAAAAATCGCGCTTGCAGCTTTTATTGAAACCTTCTGGCAAAAGAGCAAATATTTGTTTAGCACAGAAGACGGTTGATCCTTACATTATGAATTTTTCCTTTCGATTATCAGTCAATACTATCACGTGCTTATCGCCGCGTTTTTGGGCGTCAGCAGCTACGTACAAGCACCGCGACGCCGAACCAACTGAAGGCGGCGGACGGCGACGCTGCCGACGCCAGCGCAATGCAGCCTCACACATAAACACCTCTTTAATTGCGGCCAGGTTTAATTCGGCATCGAAACAGCAACACAAATGTGAAATTTAATTATTTCTTAAGTCAAGGTTAAATTATTTTCTGTTTTAAAATATTTACTTTTGCGTGAATAATTTAGTACAACCATGTTGTTTTTAATTTTTTTAGTATTTCTCAAAGGGTAAACAGGACATAAGAATACTGTTATAAACTTTTTCATCTTAAAATTATGTTTTTTATTATTTTATTGTTATTTTAGAGGGAACTATGTTTGGCCCCCTCCAGTAAACTTCGGCTTGTTTACTCAAATTATTACTCCCCTAAAATATGCGAATCCGTGTCTCTGGAGATTACCCATGTCGTCGACCAGTCCAAAAGCTGGTTGATAGTTTAAGACAAAAATATAACTTTTTGTCACTTGCGTGTCGTGAAGAATTAACTGTTTTATGACTTGTTTATTTAAAACGTCAGTGAGAATTTACTTGTGAAAATTGACACAAAAAGAGAGACGGAAAAATTAATGAAAGGATGAAAATTAAATATGAAGAAGTGGATTCTTTTGAGATATTTTATTACTATGGAAATACACAGAGCGCAGATTGTGATAAATGGTCAATTAAACGAAATGAAACAATTTGTCTAGGAATTTGCAAAGTGCTTTTATGATTACTAGCATTATTCTCCGGCACCTCCGCCATTTTTATTGATTATGGCTGAAAGGTATTTATAGTAAAAACAAAATTTTTAAAGAACAATTTTAAATTTTTACAAATTTACACGATTTTTCCCATTTTATTTTTGTTTATTGTTACCAAAAACGAATTTAATTATGTTGCTGGAAAATTTACATTTTCTACTTGGAAGTGGTTAAATAAAGTACTAACCTTTCGTATCTATGTTTAATAATGTTTAAAAGTTTTCAGCATCTTGTATATTTATAAATCAATAGTATGCATTACTCAATATCAAAGGTTTATGTTGAATAAAAAAATACAGTAACCAACATAAGTAATAAATTTTTTCTGGCAACTCCCTTGCTAAAATTTGTCCCGTTTACGACTCCCAAAGCCAAACCTCTGTCAAGTTCATTTTCCACCTCTAGTTTTTGCAATCCCACTTGAAAACCTCATGTTTTATCCTCTTGGTCGATTTATGTCCGTCATTAAACTTCATCTAATACAATGTCTGCGAAACATACCCTTCCGATCGCCCACTCACGAAGTCGCCGAGAGCTCAATCTCAAAGCGAAAAAGAATAAATAATTAATGAACTAGGGTCCGGGTGATAAATGTTCCGGCTTTTTTCCGGATTTGTAAGTCTTCCGTGAGTGTCGCTTGTAATAGGTGGTCCAATGATGGACACGCGACGCTCGAAATTGGATAAATAGATTAGAGGTCAAGGAGAGATTAAAAATTGACACCAAATCGATTGAATATTTACAGTAAAGTCCTTGAATGGTGTTTTGCTGCCGTGGTGCAGGTCGTTAGGTATGTGTAATAACTCAGCGACTATAAGTCACCGAGCAAGCTTCTTGTTATTGGAGCTCCTTTATCTTGTTTTCTGAGTTAATTATTCGGCGCTAATTCTATTTCGAAATAGACAACGTCGTGATGGAAGTCATTATTTTATCTAAAACTCCGGGTAACTTGTAAACGAACTTTCCCTCGAGGTAATTCCACCTAACGCCGTTTTTTATTCATTTCTACCGGATTCTATCGGCATCCCAAATCCAACCGTGAATTTGATAAAGTAGACGGCATCCATCTTAATGCAGGGGCTCGAAATTTCGTATTTAGGGCACGTATCGCTTGCCAAAAGCCAGTCTTCTTTCCGCGACAGTACCGGAAATTTTTCGTTTCGATTTTAATTGATACAATTAGGGCTGATCCTCGTTGTAATTGCTCCATTTTGCCATAATGGCGCGACTTAGTGCTGAGTTAGGACGTGCTAATTGTCATTTGACAGCTTGGCTTCCGGCCAAATGACAACAATCGCTCAAAAAATACCGATAACGGGATTAAGTCGACTCTTCGCAAGTTTATCCGTTTAAATATTGGCGGAGTTGCGGTGACAACTCTGAACTATGATCTTGGAGGCCTGGTTGTGTACATATTCATGATCAAAGTTGAGACACGTTCCTCGAATACCGGGCTTAAAATTATTCGTTGGAAAAAACGAGACCTGGGTGTGATTGACAACAACAGGGCCGGACAGGATACAAATTAGGCCGGGATTGTGCGAGCGACCTTTTTGGACACACGTTGCACAATATCGATTTGGAGAGCTTCGGTTTAAAGGAGATGGGTCTTGGCGGATATGTGAGGATTTAAATGCTTTTGTTGTATTGTATGTGCCGGGTCAAGGATCGATAAACCTGGGTTTTGAGTAAACCTCCGGATTTACAAATCACATACATGTTTTTTAGAATGAGATATCCACCCACATGTTTATATCCGAATGCGAGAGAAATAAAATTTGAGTCAAAAAAAAAACAAACCTGGGCATATAAATTGGCCAAAACCTGGTGCACATCTAACAATATTAAACCTGATGGTTTAAAAATGTTACATGTAAGGCTAAGCAAATAAGAAATGGGTGGTAATAAAGCGCTCAGTAAATAATTCAATTTTAATCAGTATAAAATGATAAATGATCAGTATTTAATTAATTTTTGCACAGTAAAAAAATAAATTTGTAATTTTCGTTTTTATTTTTTCAAGCGAAAACTAAAAGACCTAGACGTTTTTAACTAGGACGTTCTTAAGACACTTTTTTACAAGGAATCTAAATCTGTCATCGTATTTTCCAAAGCGCTCTTGATATCAGAGTTACAACACTCTGCTTTGGAGAAAATGCTACCAATTTTAATTAACAAACTAAATTTTGAAGCTGGTGCATTCCAGCATCTTTTATAACTTTGTGTTGTTTTGTTTTGCGAAGAGTAAATTCTGGTTTATCACGTTGCTCCTATTTCAAAACCTTTGTTTTTAAGTAGGTTAGTTTGACGGAAATGTAAATTCCAGGTCTAAATTCAATTGAACTGTCAAAATTTGGTTTGTTAATTATAATTGTTGGCGTTTTTTCCAAAGCACTCTTCGCAAAAACGCTTTTTTAAAATTTTGATCAGCATGTAAAATTTAATCATATCATGTGATATATCGTTGTAATCAGGAACAAAAAACTTTTCAAAAATTTAGAAATCGAATATGGCGCCCATAAGAAAATCCAGAGATGAGTGTTGTAACTCTAATATAAATAGTGCTTTGGAAAATATGATGACAGATTTAGATTCCTTGTAAAAAAGTGCCTACGTCCTAGTTAAAAACGTCTAGGTCTTTTAGTTTTCGCTTGAAAAAATAATTCAAAAACTAACAATGATACATTAACTTTTTTTTCAGATTATTGTTCAGCATAAAAATGCGCAACTTTACCCTAATTTAACCGACCTCGTATCTCTTATAATAACTGAGATCCCCATGGTGGAGTTCGAAAAACGAACACCTTGTATACCAATAAGAGTGATCACTCCCCCTAAGCCCATAGACTAATAGTAAAATTTATATAAGGTAATTTTTTAATAACCACCTTAGATATTCCAAAAAAATAACCACAGATTAGAAAATTTCATTTGAGGCATCACAAACATTATGGTGCCATTTAAAATCTTGAAGGGGTTGTCTATGTTACAAAGGGAGTTCTGCTACAACTTTCAAGAGTACACTAAAAAGTGTCCCCCTGTAAATAAAAATTTAGTTCTCTCGGGATTTCTAATTATTGTTTATTATTCTGGATAGCTTGTTTTAAACAAATTACCCTGTAGATATGTTAGCTATGTTTTTTCTGCTATTACATACTTTGAATTTTTATTTTTGTTATTTTGTCACCCCCAGATGTTTTTCTAAATCCCACCTTGAATTATGAACCTTGGTAATTAAATTACGTACAAGAGCAAAAAATAAAATTTCAAAAACCTCATTTTAAGTTTGAATTAAATAAAAATTTTAACCTATACAAATAAGTTAATTTTTAAGTAAACTAATTTAAGAATTGTACAAAGCCGGGCCAAACAATCAGAGTTTGAAACTACTTAAATTCAGCGCAAATTCCAAGATTTGGATGTACATAATTCAGACTTCAATTTGAGCAAATCTGTGAGACTTTGCTGGACTTACCCTAGAACAGAGCTTCTGGTCTATATTTCCGAACTCCAATGTTTTAAAATCGGAGTTACACTTGTCACAATCTCCATTTAGCCGTCGTCAATCCGGATTTGTTCCTGTTTGAAGACCGGTTTGAAATCCGGGCATCTTACATTCCAAGAGTCGCTTTTGAGGGAGCAAACAATTGCTACATTGTTGACTTTCCATTCCCTACGGTATCATTCGGTAAAAGTACATAAAATATTTACGTGGCCCGTCTTCTAAAATATGTAAATGGGGCGGCCACATTTCGAAGCGCAAATAGGATTATTCAGTATTCTGACAATCATTTTGTCACGAATTGTTTCGTGATGAAGACAGCCTCTAGACGAGAGAATCGATTGAATGATAACGAGCTCGTAGAAAAATTATTGGTATTATGCAAGAGTTGTAAAAGGGTTTATTGTGGGAATAAACGAAGTTTGATGATTGACACTCAATTAACAGAAAGGGTTGTTTCTTTAGGACGACACAATATTTTTTTGACGGGAGTTTGATGCGAAATGAATTATTTAGGAAATCCGGTTTGACTCATGGACGTCTATTACGGCTCCACTCCAAGTAGTAAACATCGAAAGCAATTATTGGAAAGCAAGGGAATCATTAATAGTTACCGCAACTAACATCGATTTGATATTAATTGCTAAATAAACATTGCCATAATTAATATTAAATTTTCCTGTTCAACTTTACTTAAAATTAAATTATCGATTTACAGCGAGATACGTCTTTCTAAAAGCAAATAACAAGCCCTTTTTGCACACAGTTTCGTCATAAAAATATTAAAGGAAAATACGAAGGAATAAGTGTTTGGATAAAAGATAAAGCCTTCAGAATGCAATAATAACGGAGTGATAACTTGAGTCAGATCCTGAAGCCACCTAAGTCGCTGGATTATCCTCAAACTAGCAAAGTTTCAGCGATACGTCATGATTTATACAATAATTGGGGTCACTTGGGTGATAAAACAAAAAGTTTCATCATTGTTCGAGTTAATATATAGAAAGGGCAGCATCAAATTTACAAGGTTAACTACCGATTAGTGCCAGAAAGTGGTTTTAGCGGCTCCAGAATGTTATACAACAAATGCTCTTCTTACTGCAATTAGGGAAAATTTACAGCCACGGCTCCGGTGAGAAGTTTATTTCAAGCAAGTTGAGAGAAACAAATAGACTTATGTTTGTTTCGATAAATCGGGTAGAAAAGCAAAAGTTAAGGTACTGTAGCGGTGTTATGAGTTACTTGTAAGCAAATATGATCAAAGTTAGCAAAAAGTACTTTTAATAAACATGAAAAGTAGGCTTTTGGTTTTAAAACTATATGTTTTAGGTTTTCAGTATACAGTTCAAGCTTAAATACTCTTGAAATCAGCGCCAGATTATGTAGGTTCCTCATGAGATTTATGATAAACTTGTGTTACTAATAATACCACTAATTTGGTGTTTTGCTTATTTATAATAAGACACAGTTTGTTAAACTCTTAAATGAGTTTTGGGGTGTTTAAAACAAAATTTACTAATAATAATTTCACTTAGAAACCACTAAAAATATGTACACAAAACATGTAGTTTTGTAAGAAATTTTCACTTGACATAATGATTGCAACCGCATAAAAATCTGCCTTTCAAAATATGTTAAATTCTAGCAAATTGAATACGTAGTGCAGAAAATTTAATTTGTAGGGTTAACTAGCGATTAGTTCCAGCGCTCGGTTTAAGTGGACACGAAGTATATTCCAACAAATGTTCCCAGGTCGCTTTTTTTCTGCAATTAGTCACTTTAAAACTGCAATTCTCTCAAGCGAAACAATGCAACTTTTCAAATTCGTTGAAATAAAGTTGAAGCAAAGTTTATTTATTTAGTTAATTTTGCAGAACAAAAGTTAAGTCGTAAATGAAATCTTTTTCGTTCACAACACGACCAATCGTAAATAAAGATATGTTTTTTGGTTTTATCTATCCGAACTTTTAACATTTGAGTGCCTTTACGGCCGAAAAAACTCATAAATAAAGAGCAATCTATATTTTATACCGCCATTAAAAATCGCTATTTTGATCAGGTTAAAAGCTAGATTAAAGCAATGTTTTGAACGTTTTCAATATGAACAATTTTCTCCTTAACCTAATTAGATAAAGGGTGACAAAACGTAGGTGTTAGGGAAAAACGAATGCAAATCCAGTCCGTTGTCCCGTTAATTCGATATCTTCCGTTCCTACAGGAACCTCCATACAAATGGCTTTTTAATTGAGGAGACGAAATTAACTCCTTATCAAATAAGTGAAGAGCTAAACCCGGATAATAAAATCCCCATCAGAAGCGGATTATCCGAGATTTCAATTTCAAATAAATTAAATCATATCTGATACGTCTGTTTGAACCCAAAGAACATGGAGCTACCCTCGCGTCTTGAATCCTTAATGAATTATCGATCCTTCCTGAAAAAACAAACAATCTTTTTCCATACAATTAACAAACAAACTCTCTGGGAGCCGGATTGTTGCGTTTACGACCTTAAAATGAAGACGTTTAATCGTTTTTATGCGATAAAATCTTTCAGGATGAGATGAAACAGCGCCATCTGGTCGTTTCAGGAGACGCAAGCGCCACGATTGAATCGATGCTTGTTTTCAGCTTTTTCAGTGTTTTCAGCGCCGGCAAACACGCAACAGTACCGACAAGAGCGACTTGTTGGTGCGCGACCATAATGGTAAGATCAAAGATTGTGTATTGAGTGCACCATCACTTTTTTTCAGTACGGGTTTGTAAACTATGCTTTGGAACTCCTCGTGGTTAAGACTTTTGGTGAAGAAACTTGGGAGACGATCAAGTAAGACATTTTGCCAAAGTTTGAGGAATTTATTTTACTTTTCAGGAAAAATGCCGATCTTCAGATGGAAGGCTCGTTTCTCGTAAGGCAAATCTACGAAGACGAGCTTACATATAATTTGATTTCAGCAGCAGTTGATGTTTTACGTAATTTTGAAAATTTTAGATTGACTGTTTTTGAAAAATCCAATTTTTAGAAATACCGGCTAATGCGATTTTAGAGCTGTTCGGCAAGACATTTTTTGAATTTTGTCAAGATTCTGGTTTTGATAAAATTCTTCAAGTGTTAGGCGCCACTCCTAGGGACTTTCTCCAGGTCAGTTATAACCGAATTGTAGATTCCTGTAATTTTAAATTTTTAGAATTTGGATGCTCTTCACGACCATTTAGGCACCTTGTATCCCGGGATGAAAGCTCCGTCGTTTCGGTGCACAGTTCGGCCCGAAGATGGCGCTTTAATCCTACATTATTATTCAGACAGGCCCGGACTCGAACATATTGTAATCGGGATAGTCAAGGTTTAAAATCTTTGTTTTTTTTTTCAGAATTACAGATTCATTTTTAGACTGTTGCAAGTAAATTACATGGAACTGAAGTAATTGTTGAAATTCTGAAAACTAAAGAAGAATGCGACCACGTGCAATTTTTGATAACCGAAGCTTCGGGTCCGGGTAAAGTTCAACATCCGGAAATAGATGAGATTCAAACATTATCACTCGGTATGACTTCCTGATTTTGCAATTGCGATAATTGATGTAAAATTATCATTTATTAACAGTTTGTGCCTGAAATACAGCGCTTTCTATAAAAGGTGAACGGTTTTTCAAACGGTCACCGTTTTCATATTGATTACTTGATAATTATTCTCTCGAGATTGTTCTGTAATTGAAAACTGTACGGTTGTCGGTTTATGATCTTGAAACAGATGCGTCGTTATGGATTATCTGATTACGTTTTGTACCGTTTTGTTAAATGAATGGTGAACGAATAAATCACGGATCGACATATCGCTCAATTCCAGAGCAAAAAAAAAGAGAGGCTTAAGTATGAGAGAGGGATTTTGCGAGATTAGAGATTACAGCAAAACACACCTAATGTATTTTTTTATTTATTTGCATAATATACACACGTAGCAGACTACTACGAGTATATTTGAACAGGGTGATAACGACTTAATAATTGAGCGAATAATTAAATAATAAACTTTCATTATGTTTACATTTTTTGAACCTATGTTTTGAGCCTATTATTTCCCACGCAGTTTAACTAAATCAAATACATTTGTTTATTTAATAAAATTAAAATAAATCGTTCCTAGTGGTGTCAACAGCATTTTTCAGCCCATGTTTATGCGAAAAAAATGCAAAAATTCCAAACTTGCTTATAAATATCCATCCAGTTAGTCAACTTTTCGTTCCGAAAAATGTAATTTTTTGCAGAGCCCAAGGTGAACGCCGCGACATTTTGCCGCGTGTTTCCTTTCCACATTATGTTTGACCGAGACCTGAAGATCGTCCAAACAGGTTCAACAGTGGCTCGTGTCATCCCAAAGGTGACCTCAGCCGAGTGCCGCGTCACCGACATCCTGGACACGGTACTAGCCAAAATCCAGAGAATCCAAAAAACGGGCGAAATTCCAGGTTCGTCCTCACTTGGAGCTGACCTTCGAGAACATCCTCTCTCACATAAACACCATCTATGTCCTTAAAACTCGGCCCGGGGTGATGCAAGTCTCCGCACCTCCCGAGTATCGCTATCTCCGTCTCAAAGGCCAAATGCTCTACGTGCCAGAGACTGACTTGGTGATCTTCCTCTGCTACCCTAGCGTGATGAATCTGGACGACCTTACGAGGTACGACCCGCCTACGTCTTTTCGCTGCTTTGTTTACAACGAAATAACCACAGGAGGGGACTCTACATCAGCGACATTCCTCTACACGACGCCACACGCGATCTGGTACTCATGTCCGAGCAATTCGAAGCTGATTATAAGTTGACGAGGAACTTGGAATTGCTCACAGATAAGTTGCAACAGACGTATAGGGAGTTGGACAGGGAGAAGAAGAAGACGGATGGGTTGTTGTACTCAGTGCTGCCCATCAGTGTGGCAAATGAGTTGAGACACAAGAGACCGGTACCAGCCAAGAGGTACGACTGTGTCACGCTGCTCTTTTCAGGAATTGTTAATTTCTCCGCTCTTTGTGCTGCCAATACTGACTCGAAAGGAGTCATGAAGATTGTTAATATGCTGAATGAACTCTACACGAATTTTGATGTCCTGACGGACCCCAAGAAGAATCCGAACATTTACAAGGTACAGACGTCATAAAACAAAATCTGGATAATAGTTCACAAATTATATCAAAGATGATAAAAAATATAACACCGATGCAAAAAATGGCCAAAAAGTAATTCGGAAATCTCACATTATATTTTAGAGAAATTGCAGAAAAAATTAAACAATTGCACTAAAAATTTTCCAAAATTTTTTGATGATTTTTGAAAGGCTGTAACTCATCGAAAAATGGTCGTATCTAGATTTTAAAAATACAATTTGGAAGCTTTAAGTTACTAGTTTTAAGGTCTGTTGCCAAATTTTTTTTCTGTGTTACGGTTATCACGCAATCTAAAGTAATAGCGCAAAAAAAAATCTAATTTTTTTTGTTTTTGTTTTTGGTCCACGGATGTGGAGAATTTTTTATTAGTTACATCAATGCATAGACCGGATAACATGTTTATTTACCTTTAATATGCTTTTTTCATATTCTCTTTACGTCAATTTGTCGCCGAGATATCTAACTTTAAATGAAAAAGGATCCTTTTGTCTTTGATCATCGATATCTCTGCAACCAATGACCACACAGAGAATATAAGGGTAGCGTCAAAAACTGGAATAAATGTATTATAAGATCTTTTAATGATTTTTTGAAAAATCTTTTTTTTTTCACCTTTAAACTTGATTTAAAGAAAAGAGAAAAAAGTAAGTTTTTGCATTGTTTTAGTAAATCTACCGCGTATTTACTAATATTGATGAGTAGTCTAATGTTTTTAGGTGTTTTTACAGCTTATTGTATTCTCCATAGCCCTGTTAATTTTTAAATCGATTCATCAAACCGTTTTCTCGGACCGATTGATCAAAGTTTAGAAAATAATTAAAGGGGCAATTGCACATATTCTGAACTAATCTTCATCAAAATGAAAATAATCCTTTTTTTTTTCGATTTTTTTTAAATTTTGCATTAGTATAGTTATTTGCTAAAAATATAAAAATTAAACAATTTTTTTAATATTCATATTTTTAATTTGTAAAAGCATTCAAGAAACAATACTGTTTGATTTTTGAAGAAAAAAATAATTAAATGTTTTAGATTTTTTAAAATTTGAATATATATTTAATCTACCTAGATACAACCATTTTTAGATGAATTACAGCCTTTCAAAAATCACCAAAAAATTTAGAAAAATTCCTTTAGTTTTTTTGGAGTAAGTAGTGTATTATAAAATTTAGCAGTGGTAGTTTACAAATTTCTAATGAAATATTATTATAATTCAAAACTTAATTAAAACCTTCCAAGGTCGAGACTGTGGGCGACAAATACATGGCGGTGAGTGGCCTTCCCGAGCCTTGCACCACCCACGCCTGCAACATAGCCCGTTTAGCCCTGGACATGATGGACCGGGGCAAATCCGTCATGTTTGATGGCAACCCTGTGGTAATTCTCCCTAATAAAACAGCCACATCTTTTAAAAAATTAATTTATTCAGAAAATCACAATTGGGATACATTCTGGTGAAGTCGTAACGGGGGTTATAGGTCACAGGATGCCTCGATATTGCCTTTTTGGCAACACTGTCAACTTAACAAGTCGCACTGAAACAACCGGCGAACCTGGACGGATTAACGTGTCAGAAGAGGCATACAAGTGAGTCAGTCTTCCATTATGTCTAAATAGCGTTTTAGGGAGTCTGGGATTGAGAGTGTCCGGATTCCGGAGGGGAGTTGGTAGTTTAACCAGAGTTGATTCCGGATAGTGCAACGAGTCAAGTGTTTTAATTCCGGGACTTGGACACCACAGCGTTTCAAAGGGATCAAACCGTCCTCTACTAATTCTGCATAATTTTCAAATATTAATTTAGTTTCTAAATTGATTTTTGGAATAACTCTTAGGAGAAGTTGGAGGCAGGCTACAATGTTGTAAGGGTACACGTGACAAAACTCCATTAGTTTTTTCATGACAAAGATGACCAAACTGTCTTCAGTTTTTGCTCCATATCTTAGAAAAATATGAAGCTTGTCTGGGAGCCCCAATTGGAGAGCTATTTTGGCTGGAGTTGGGTTATCACTTCCACAACTCTCCAATGGGACATCTATAAACCTTTCAGAATCAAATTCTAATCCTCCCGTCGTTGCATGGTCTATAAAGTAGACAATAGCTCTCAGGTTTTCTTCCTGACTATCAAAATCGCTCTTCCAGCCGGCAATATAATAAGGAGCCCTATTACCAAAAATGGCCCCAATGAAAATCCTTTCGTAGGTCCTTTCACAAGCGTAGATACTTTCCAACAGAGCTAAAACCGTCCCTGTATCTTTCAATTGCCAATCGTAGCAGATTTTGACAGCCACATATAAAATATTGTGGTACCGACCCATCATACAGACTGAACCATTAGCCGCCCGGTTCCCTTCGTGGTATCTAACAATAGCCATAATTGTGTCACGGACGGCCGATTCAGGTTCAATGCCGCTACCTAAAGCCGTTTTTTCGCATTATTTACACAAATAAACCCTTACCTCTGATATAGCCTTCAATAAGAGTACTAATATAAGTAACCATCGTTTGCCGATTCCTCCTATTATGGAGGCTCGTTCTTGACGAATTCGTAAACTGGTCGAGGTAGCATTCAAGAAGGTGGTTCATGACACTGACAACCCTCAACCAAATGCTAGGAAACATTTTTATTGGATTAACTTAAAGGGTTTCGGCTTAAGTGCATTTTTACAGGTTCCTGTGCAAAGAGGACAATTTCGACGAGCAGTTCCATTTTGAGTATCGTGGACCGGTGACCATGAAGGGCAAATCTGAACCCATGAACGTGTGGTTCTTGTCGAGAGCCAAGTCCCACTAGAGCTAACAATCCAACTAGGTTAGTATGGTAATCATGTTCCGCACATGCTTTCTTCATTTTCGTGAGAGACGATGTAGTTTCTTCTTTTGTAATTGCTCGTGTGAAATTACACGTTCCCTAGAGACAAGTAGAGCAATTGTTGATCAAAATTCTGGTAATTGTAGAACATGATAATTACGAGACCAATTATGTATAAGTTTTTTCTATTGTGACTTGCATAAGCGAATGAAAGTTGTTTATTGGTTTTAAACCAAAGGTAAAGTACCTACGTCTGGAGGGCAGATAGACCTTAAACATTTTTTGCAATAAATTGAAAATATTTATATTTCTATTGAATTCTCGCGAAAAACGCTGGGGTTATGTTTACTATTGCCTGGCAACGTAAATTCGTCCTTGACTGTCTTATGAATTCGAAATAAATTATAGCTAAAATTTTTTTGTTTCCAGGTGGAGCGGCGTTGTGCACACTATAAGTACCATTCGATGTGAGCGCGTGACAATCTATTCAACCGTATTGTTTCAGTTATGACATCGCATTCTCGTGTGTAATTATCCCCGACAAGCCACACTTATAAATATCTCCGATACATAATTTTTAATCGGTTGTGTCAGCACGCGTAATAGAAAATCCATGTCGATTGTCATCGCTGTCTCTTCAGTTTCCCAACCAATGTGTTTTTCTTTCCACCATTTATGACATAACGGCTTTCTCAATCGCCGAATTTCACTCGAGCTGCGCCCACACTGTCCAAAATTCGTTCACCTGTAGAGCCACCTTGACGGCAAGGTGAACCGCCTCATTCCACAGCCACTTGTCGCCTGCACAGACGCAAATGTGACCGTTAGGACACGTGAGCTGGTTTTAGGACCAACAAATGTGCATTTTGGTCGGCCTTGAACCGCAAGAAGCATCTTTGAGGTGTTTCCGGGTGAAATGTCAACGTTATAGGCGAAATTTATGACCTTGGGAGGAAACGTTTCGCCATTGTTTACTAATATTAGCACGTTTCGACTAGTTTCTTTTGTTTGTGAAATGGTAAACAACAATAAATCAATTTTAGGTAAATTTACTATTTTCACACCTTTAAGTGGCCAATTAAGAGTGTAAGAAAGGTCAGAGATTGTCTTTTGTTTTGTTTTCAAAAGTAATAAACGTTTATCAGGCAAAATGTTTCTTTTATTTATGACTTCAGCAATTCTTTGCTTTGACTCAGTTGTCTCACACGAGAGTCCATTCTTATCTCATTTTTTTAATGAAAAAGTCAAACTTATTTTTGAATAAGTGTTTCATAACGAACAAGATTGTTCTGTGAGGAACGTACAAAATAATTATTGCAAATTAATAAATTAGAGAGAATTTCGTTATACATATTTGTTTTAAGTAATTTTAAAATAATTGTTTCTGTAAATAATAACGAGTACATACTACGACCTAATAAGTTACTTGAGTAGCAAAAGAAGAAACTTTTTTTTTCTTGTGGTAGATATGTTTTTGAGGAAGAGAAAAAAAATTACTCTCTTGGGAATAAATTACATATGTACTTCTCTTCCATATTTTGGGGGAGTCAAATGTACTCGTAACATTCTATTTTAATGTTATTAATATAGAAAAAAAGGTATTTTTTTGTTTACCGTTCAGTAATTCTAGTCCCACAAGGGTCAAACTCCTAGGGTTCATTCTTGTTCAAAAACTGGCGACTGTGTTCCGTTGTAATTTTCTATTGTTTCCAACCATCCATTAGCACTTATTAGCTTTTGTGAAATTGTACCCGCGTGAAAAAAGCAGAACAGTGGCTCAACTTAAATGTCGCTGAAAAATCAGAAAACAGAAAATCCAGTTTTAATAAATCCCTTCACCGCTCCGCTTTCTCCGTCCTCTTCAAAAACGCATTTGTTTTTGAACCGCATCCACGTGACTTCTATCCACGTTTCCGTAATTCACGTGTCCCGTAATATGTTACTGCTATTCATTTTTTTCCGCTTTAATGAAACATTTATCTGGATGAATAATTCAAAGCGGTAGTGACGTTTGGATCCGTTATTTCGATCAGCCTTGGCCCTGCACTGACTTTCTCTGGAGATAAATCATCGGAATCGCTTTCGAATTCGGGTGGTACCTCGGGGTTGCGAAAATTACGCACAGAGGAGAGAGTACCAATGTCATCGAGAAAGCCGCCGAGCTGAGACTGCAAGTGGCACAGTCTTGGAGTGACCGCCGCGGTCGTCGTACAGTTAGTCGGTACCACTCGATGCCGTTAATTGACGTACCATTGGTACTTGTGCTGCGCCGGTGAAACAAGTGATTAGTTTTGGGTGCTTAAAAGCGGTAAACAGATGGTTGAAACCGGTATTTAATTGGCCAAAAACACGAGGTACTTGGATGCTATCAATTAACACAAGTGCGATCTGAGAGTGGAGCTTTTTGGACTTCTCAGACGCTGTTTAATGGGTTGTTTATCTTTGGAACCGCAGCATCGCAAATAATTAGCCTAAAGGTATCATAGTACTAAAATATAGCACTTTCTGTCTTTGTAAATAACAAACATTCTTTTACAACTTTTCCATAGCCTCATTTTGAGTAGCACTTTGACCATTTTTATATTCTGGGGTGTATTGTTTATTATTTCAATATTTCTTGTTGTCCTAAATTTGATTTTTTGTTCTGGTACTACTTTACTTCTTTTGTTTCTGTTTTTCTGAATTGCAATTATGTGTTTGTCTAGAAATCTTTCGTAGCCTCATTCTCGAGTAGTAAATATTTATTTAATATTTTTATATTTTCACGGTGACACTAATGTCATACTAGTAGTTTGTTACTTTTGATTTTTCATTATTTTTTTTTCAATTTTGTGTTTAAATGGCACTTAATTTCCAGCAGTTTCAATTTTTGTAGTAACACTTATAATACTTGGCAATTTTCATTCTTGGAGTTGTTTATGTTCTCTTCAAACGTGTTCTTAGCCTCATTCTTCTGGTAGCAGTAGTACCCTAAGGTAGTGGCTGTCCTTCGCCGCTTCAGACCTCAATTTTCTTAAATTTTGCGCAATACGATCCTCTGTTGGATAATGAAAGGATGAGACTTCTTGTATAACATGGCTTATGAAATTTCATTATTTCCGGTTTAGTGCTTCTAAATTAGAATGAACTTGTCAATAAGAAGCTTCCGCGATGAAACCCATAAAGGTTGAATTCACACACACACCTACCTTTGTAAACTTTCGTTGTAAAGAATTTCGGTCCCTTCAAGTGGGTCCATAAAATAAATTAATCCAGTATTATTTAATTAAAATGAATGTTAATTAATATTTTAACTGGTTTTCCTTTCATTTTTAATTATTCACGATCCTACATATTAATAAATAACGGTTTGTTTTGAATATAAATTTTCAGTGTTTTATTTGCGATTGATTTTATTTACTTCTTTGAACTCACTGGCACAGTTTCACACAATTTCAATTTAAATCAAATTACAAAAAAGTATCGCCTTTCAAAAACGTTCTTTTACTTTCAATTAAACCGCAAGTTCTGAGCGCTTTTTAAATTACATATCTATATGTTAATAACAGCAATTTATAATTTGTAATTTTAAACATTATTTGACTGGGCCGGTGACAAGTTATGTGCATTAGTTACAAAATTTTGTAAATTTCCATTTGCTTCGTCCGTTATCTAATAAGTAAAGAATTCCTCGAGTTCACACTTTTAATCTGATTACATCAACTGGAAATATCAATTTAAATTATAAGATACATAAAAGTCGAATAATTTCGCAGTTAGAGCGGTGTTATGAAATCTTTTAAACTGAACGTTTTATATGAATCGTTTTAAATAATATGATTTTACAACCTATCATTTTTGATGATTTCACGTAAATTGCTTAAACTTTCTTCAACCTACGAAGATGGCACAATTTTAGCTTGTTATTAATCTTGGGTACAACTCAGTTTCTTTGCCTGTACCCGTATCTACTCTCAGTTTTAATTAAGACTTTCTCCGCCTTTGTCTTTTTGAGATTTCTGATTGATAATCTCGAGTGTTGAATCAATTTTTACTCTTATACGTAAGTTAAATTCGTTCCGCTAATTAATTAAGATTACTTTTAGTTTATTTTCCTGATAATTAAAGAAAATCAGTTTAATATTAATTTTATTCTTGAAAATAGCAACATTTGCAGTCAGTTTTTTCAATAATCTGTAATTATTTTGTTTTGTACTTTCACTCTTTTTCTCATTAATTCTTGAACTGTCAATAAATAAAAACGTTTGCCTTCAAAAAAAACCTATTTCTTTAAAAACAAATGAACCAAGATGCTCTCTCTAAATCATGAGGTACCGTAAATCGGGGTTACTTTGACATATTTTGAGAGGTTTTGCTAATGTATCTTTTTAATTTTTTGCAAAATTTTCTTGAAAAAATTAGCATCCGAACAATTGATCCTTTTGCTTTTACAAACAAACTTAAAATTTTGCCTCAAGATCATAGTTTTTCCAAAAAAAAATTAAAAAATTGTCAAAGAAACTTCGGGGCTATTTTGACAGTCCCTCTAATTACGTTAAAAATCAAAGTTATGCTAACCTGGAGGGTACTTTGACACATTATAACTAAAAATATGTAATATATGATGTAAATAAACTTTATTAAACTCATTAAACACAAAACATAAAATATATAGATATTTTCATAAAAAAAATTAAATGTGTTATTTTTTGGTATGTTATATGGGATAAAAATAAAATAAACATAATTTCGGTAGGTACCTAAGTAAAAGTAACAGTAAAGTAACCCGGGAAGTCAAAGTAACAACAAATTTAATTTTTTTGATTTTTTTAGCTTTTGAACTTTTACAATTGTATTGCAGAAGTGTTAAATATGTTTTTTAAGATTCAAGGGCGACAAATGATATATTTTACATTAAAACAAACTGTAATACCGCTGGAATAGTAGCTTTATTTCCTATATTATTTAAGCTTAAGACGAAAGACATTTTTTTAAATAGTTATTTTAGCAATTATACTCTCATACAATTTTTTTATTTTTGTTTATTTCTTATTTTGTCTGATGCTATCTTTGGTCCAATTATTAAAACTTATCTTCGCGCTTATTCCAATTAATTTCCTTCGACGTTCAATCGAATTTTTATTACCTGGACAAATTGTTATTAGCTTTTTTCTCTTATACTCGTGAAAATATTTCTATATATTTTCTGTATTTCCAATTTGCTTGATTTTTTTAGTTTATTAAGAACTTTTGTCTCGTTCTCTGCATTAAATTTCGTGCAATCGAGAAAACTTTATAACCATTAGCAACTGCCATCGAAAGGCCTTCACAATCCGTTCAATTGCAGGTCTCTTACAATGGAACAGCTCGTGGCACCGCCGCTACCTCCGAAGACTCGGTCCCCTCCAGCCTCCACACCGGTACAACACTCGCTGCAAAGCTCTCATTCTCCCAGTCACGTCGTCAAGATCCGCATCAACCCCGCCGAAGAGGTGTCATGCCCGCCGTGCATCCGCATCAGCGTCAACTCCTCGGAGATGATGTCCAGGCCGTACTTTTTCTACAACGTCATGTCCAGTGGCCAGACGTCGCCGAGTGACACTCTGGACTCGGGCACGTGCAGTGATTTGGACGGCACGCCGCCCCCCAAGAAGAACACTTCGGTGACGCTCATCCAGCACCAGAGAACGGCATCACTGACAGACAGCGACAACGACTCGTGCGACTCGGGGAAGGCCTCTCCGAAGCCGATGCCTCAGACGCTCCTTCAGGACATCCGCAAAAGTGTCGTTGTCAAGAGCTACGAGGAGCGCAAGGAGGAGCAGAAGGAAGTGAAGCCAATTCTGGAGACCGATATGTTCTACAAGTTTCATCTAAACGAGCATGTGAGTGAGGACAATGATGTGCCGAAAGTCGTCGAGGACGAGACTTTTGCCGGGTATAAGGACCTTCTCGGAGACGGTGCCGCGACCATTAGGAGCGCTAAAGGGACGGTGAGGGGGGTCAAAAACCGGGTCAGAGCGGGAATTGCCACTTTCCTTCAAATTAATTCCGTTGCGAAGGTAAGGACACCGGCTTTGCTTTTTTTAAGTAGTGACACCATTAGACATATGCGAGGTCCAGTTATGTAACAGTTGGTATACGTGCATGTGACGCTAATTGGTAGATTTTGAACAAAAAGCGGGAAGGTTCAAGGTCACAAGTGTCAAAAATACACACTATGGAATTGTTTATTCATTTATTGCATTTATTAGACATTTCTAGACATACTTGTATATTCACGGTCAAATAAAAGAAAAATTTAACTTATCTTTGTTAAAAAATATTGCTTTGAATTTTTAGGGTGTACCTACAGTAGATCTAGAAATATTTGGAAACAAAGCCAAGTACTTTTAGTTCTAAATATTTCAAAACCCACCACCCCAGGTCAAAATTCTGCACTTCAGTGTATAGAGAAGAAAATTGTTTAGGATACTTTTATGAGGATTAAGCTCGGTAGCAGGCCATTTGTGGTTTACCAAAAGGCGATGATACTCTGTTTCCAAATATTTCTAGATTTACTATAGATGAAGAGGAAGTTCAATGTTTAGCATTACTTAAATTTCTGTGTTCAAAATAAAACACTGACAGTTGCACCAACCCAAGGCAAATAAACTTCCTGTTAATAGGTAACCACAAAAATTTAGAAACTTGCTTATTCCATTTCCTAGTTTTAGTGAATCAGCAAGTCATTTATCGGTTAAATGAATTTATTAATCTGTTAATACTTAAAAACGTGACTTATTTTAGGTTTCTTTATTTATTGTTTACAAATCTGAAAAATATTCTAAGGACAAATTGACATTCTAAAGTGTTCTAGAAATAAAGCTACGAGCATATGAAATAAAATCAATCACTGACCGTTGTTATATATTTATTGATATGTTTGCAATCTTGTATAATTTTTTAATTGGCAGCTTAAAGTTTTTTATTAATTATTGTATAATAATTATTATATTAAATTAATTATTTTTTTTAAAATTAGGTTTAGATTTAAAAGTGCCATTTTTTAATTGAACTTTCTATTAGACTACAAAAAAACAAAAAAAATTGAATTTGTTTGTTTTATTTCTTTGTTTAAACCTATCATCAATAAGTTGTTTATCAGATAAATAAATTTATTAACCAATGTGACTTACTTTCGGTTTACTAATTTAAATAATGAAAACTATTCTAAAAACATGTCATTAGAATGTTCTAGAAATTATAAAAGTACGTAAATATAAACAGTGGCAACTACAAAATGGTTACTATAATTGTGACAAAAGCCTGTCAACAAAACATTCATTTTTAAGGTTCTAAAAATGTTCTGAGAGATAATTAGACGACATAAAAACCACATCACATGTTTACTATTTTGTAATTTTTGAAATTAATTTTCACATGTAGGAGATGAAAGTTCATAGTCAGATAGGTCAAACAACGTTAAAATTAATGTGCGAGTTGAAAATGTTTGTTCCACATTTAGTTTTTGTTTTTACCTGGTGTTGTGTTCTCATGAAAACGGCACCTCAATTTAAAAATTTAAATGTGGTAGAAAACATTGTTGTCAGCGAATTGTCTTCATTTATTTACCAATATTTGTCACATATGTATATTGTTTAATTAATTAAACAAATATGCAAGTTCAAAATTGGTTAGGTCAAACTGCTAAAAAAATAATTGCAGACCAGTGAATGTTTGTTGAAACTAAAATAAATTCAGTTTTGAGATATTTTTTTTGTCCTTACTTAAAATGCTTGAAATTAACACAAAAATGCAGACAGTAGTAACAACTTGAATAAAAATGATTTCTAGCGATGTCTTAAGAAATGTGGTTATGGGTCATTTTTTTGATTCCTGTTTCATAAATCAGGATACATGTCGGGTATAAATAAGAAGACAGTGATGTCAACTGGGCTTATTAGACCACATCAAAACTTACTGTTTCTATCGATTTAGTAATATATTTCAAGTCTCTCCAAGTTAGTTTGTTTTTATCGTAGCATCGATAAGTAAGTATTTGCAATTTTTATAAGCAAAGTTCAAGATCAACCAAGCAAATCTGAGGAAACAAATATTTACAAAAATCTGAATGCGACTGTATACACATGTATACACACATGAGGTGATTTAAAATTGTTTTAAATATAATTTGGGCCCTTGGCAACAACAAGTTGCTATTTTAAAACGATTTAGTCGTGGTTATTTCTTGTTTTTATAGACCATATGTCGGGAAAGTTCAAGGTTACCTAAGTCAAACCGGTAAAAAAATTAATTGCAAAAATGTAAATGTGACGACGTGCGTTGGGTTAAAAATCTCTGATCTGATTTGATTTTAACTCGCGCGGTACCAATCTCGAATAAATATAATCACTATCGGTGACAATTGCTGAAGTTATCTTAACGTTTGGGTGTTAGGGGTCATATTGTAATTCTCGGTCTCTTGCCTCCGGTGAATCACCGAGTTTAACAGTAACGTAAACGCATTCAATTTGAGACAATAGTGCCAATACAATAGCTTCAATGTTACTAAGAGGCATTGCTGTCATCCGAACTCTCTCTAAAAATTTCTGTACAATAAAACGTGTCCAGAATCATCAATAAATCTCCTCTGCACTCGCTCTAAATATAACCACATGAATGCTAAATCTCTTTATGCTTCGAAACCTTAATCACATAATTCTCGAATTTTTGTGAATCATACCGAGCTAATTAAACGTAATTTTTTGATAAGATAACAGTAATCAAATCAAGTGATTAGTGTGATGTTAGCTCCTGACGTCGAGATTCTAAGTCCTAAAGGCACGATCCGGGGCTTCAAAAACCGCGTCCGGGCCAACATTCGCTACTATAGCGATCCGGTTTTCAAGGTACGCCACTGGTCTTATCCTAATTGATAGCGCAAAAATGATTTATGAGTTAGCGTCTTGGAAGTAATACAAATGCTGACATTTCAACAATGGTTGCGAAAAATTCACTGTGATTTATTGATAGCCGAAAGTGAAAGGTGTGGCCGGTGGACCGAGACGTTCCTCCCAAAACCGCACATTTTTTTAGTGATTTAGCTCGGTACAGGTGCGATACGCTTCACGGAGAAAGAGATAAAATTGAAATTGTTACGAAGAATGGAATACAGGTGTACGGAGACAAAAGTTTGAGGTCGGGGAAAAATCGAAATGTTAGTTGATTGCTGGCAGGAGTTGAATGCTGTGATACGTTTCGGTTGGCTTGTGGGCAATAAGTAGGTTTCAGTTTATGCTACATTTCTAGAATAGTGAACATGGTTGTTAAATGCCTGACATTTTTCGATCTGGATTTGTATAGGAACTGGATTTCTGACAAGGATATTGTAAACCAGAAAACATTTAAATTTTTTAAATTGGAGACCTTTTTCCAAACTGGTATAACGCACAACAACGAAAAACTTTTCTTTAACAATCGACAACACGTTTTTCATGTTGAAAATCATTAGGATGACAAAGAAAGAGAAACAACACGTTCTCCAGTCATCAATTTAACATTTTGCGCTCATATTCTTATAATTATTATTATTATTAAAAAAATGCCGTAATTGTGTTTACCATACAAAATTTTATTTTCATTCTCAACTTGACCTTCTGTGGCGAATCGCCTAGTTCCTCCGGTGGCGCTCTTTGACCATTTTGACGTTTTTAAATATCAATAAACGTCTCTGGAGGAAATCCTCTTGAAATTCATTGTTTCTCGCTGAGTTCTCATCTTCGATCGTATTGTTACCACAACAATGCGATGCAGCAACTCATCCGCTTCCCAGCCGTTGACGCAAACGACTCATTTTTCGCGATCGATTGGTGGAGGCCGCTCATAAGGCCGTAATCGGCCACTTACGTGCCCTCGTTTCAATCTGAATTTTTTTCGCGCCGAATGAAAGTTGCGCCACTGCGGCTTGCGATTATTATTCAGTTTTAGTTCCCGCAACACTTATTCATAATTACCTACTTATTGCACGAATTAAAATTAATTAAGTTGCCGTGCCACCAAACGAGAAAAAATTTTCAGGGCACTTTACTTTCTAAAATTGAGATTACGTCAAAAGATACTTAACGAAATATCACATATTGTTTACGTAACAAAGTCAAAACTGTTCCGCATTTTTCGATTCAAGGTGACTTAAAAATCGCCTTTTCTCACTAGGGAAAAAGTGAGGATTATAACACCCGCGTCACGTGGCGCAAAACTGCCATTATTGCAGATTGATTGCTTAGCATTCTCACGATTCACAAAGGTCAAGGTTTGAGTGTTGGTTTTTTAAGAAAAATCGGAGAAAATTGAAAAAAAATTTCTTTTCTATTCCTGGGTAAATCCCACGCACTCACACGTGCCCTGCACTGCTTTTTCCCCGTCTCAATTAAAGCTTGATGCATGAACGCCGCTCCATTTGTATAGTTTTCGTCGTTAATTAATTGGGAAGGTTCTTTGATGGGTAAATTATGATAAAACGCCGCCATTTCACGCCGTTTTAAACACGTTCAAGCTCAATTATACAAATAAACAAGACGGGCGTTAAGCGATGTGTTGTTGGACATACACGCATACGAATGCAGGAATTGTCGGCAATTTGTTCGGCATGATTTTAATACGATCCAGTGATTAGAGCGTGCTTTATGACTGGAAAGAGAAATATCGTGAAATAGCATCGCATTAAAAGTGAAAAATGCAATAAAATCCTGCAATTTATCTTGTTTTTGCAAATTTCGGTGTTTTCAACCTCTAACCTCTAACGTTGAATATTACTTTGGTATACATTATTTTTCCCAAATGCTGCCATTTAAGAAACAGAATTGTGTGGCCTCTAATTCTTGTGGGTCACTTTTCATATATTTTTTTTCTGTATGAAACAGTGAAGTTTCTTAACCTCGAAGAGTCATTTTAATGTACAGATTCTTTTGCAGAAACGGAAACCATATCTTTTACAAAAAAAGACATTTATAGTATGTATTATAAAGTTGACTATTATTCATAAAATGCTTTTGGAAATTACTCTTCTACACATTTTTGTGTTAAGCATTAAGAAACGTTAAAAATCCTAATACTAAATACAAGTTTTATGAAACTTACCAATATCTATTGGTAATCAATAAGAGTAATACAAAAATTTATAAGAACATTTAAAATTTTGTATTTTGGTTTATGTTACATCAAATAAATGAAATCTCAGTTTTATTTCATTTACTCGTATTATTGTAATAGTTATTAGTTATTACTCACTTTCGTAAGAGTTGTTCATCTTATCATTGAAAAATAAACAAAGTACGAAAATAATTCGTAAAATAGTCAGTTATAATACCACGAGTAGTCAAAAAATGTCGAATATTGAAAACGATTTACCAAAGTGTAATGTTTGATACATGATTATTTATGGTTGTACAAGTATGTTATATTACAAATAAGTCATGCAAGTGACTTAAGTGACTTATTTGTACACATGTGTCTCATATAAAACTTTATCCAACACCTCTTAATTGCGATTTAAAGTGCATTTTTATTTTTAATTTGACATTTTAAAGTATCATAAATTGTTGTGTTCAAATTATCTGTTTATTATTACTTTAAAATTTTGTAAATAATTAACCAAAATATTAGGGGAAATTTGGACAATCATAACCATACTTATTAACGACCCTGTATGGGATTTTAAAAGAATGCAAATTAATAACAGAATACAACTAAGAAGAAGACAGAGAATTATAAGCACTGACTAATCAGTAAAATCTAAAATAACAACAAAATGTAAAAACAGATTTCCAAATTTTTTAAGTTGAATAACTTGACAACATTATAGTCTAAACTCAAAAATAAAAATCCTTGTGGGGACGGTCTCTGAAAAGACTTTTCGTAAGATAAATTTTATCGGTTCCATAATTGCTAAAGAAACATCAATCAGATCAGTGTTACCTTATTAGTAACTACCGATACCGATTTAACTAAAGTTAAATTGTTCCAGAATCCGGACATTAATCTTTTAAAATGATTTCTGCGAATGAACAAATAAATAATATATCTATATTTAATGCACAATTTCGTTTAAAATGAGTATTTAAAGAAGTAAACTTAATAAAATGTACTGAAACGGAATTTTGTAAACTCTCATTCTCCAACAGACGTTGTTGCAATGTATTCTAAACCGGCGAGACTTAACACAGCTTACCCCTTAAGTAAATATGATTTAACAGAAATCATTTGTCATTTCGCTCAGCTACTGTCACGATCCACTTCCACGGCTCGGCTATCGTTACCCAATTTCACACCATCGCTAATCACCTCACGTATGTACCATTTCTGGGACCTCTTTGCCTATATGTGGCTTGTCGCATCTGTTGCAAAAATTTCGTCCTAGTTTATATCAAGATTCTTCCGATTGTCGGCATTTCCTGTTCTAGTCCGTGTCATATGGCCGGAATATAAAATCGCAGTGACTGTTTACGGTCTAAAATTCCATCAATTACGGCCGCATTGCCGTTTCATGCGACACTCCGTGTTGTAGCGGTAAAGATTACATAGCGGAGCGTTACGCTACAGCTCCTTTTCAATTAATCTCGTCTTGTAACGTTAGAGGACCCTTGACAACAGGCTATCAACAGGTTGGGAAAAATTTCATTTGATATTTTTTTAACGCTCAAAGACACTCAAATCCTCAAAGGTCTTTGAGTTAATTAACGATTTTCCTCCTCAACTAAGTTTAGGAAGTTTGTCCGCACTTTACAACTTGATCCGGAAGTAGCCGCAACTCCTCGGGGTCGCGTCTTTTATAATTGTATTCCTGGAAACTCTGTGTTTTCCGAAAGCTTCTATTGATATTCCGCCCGGAGATTTGTCACAATTGAACAATAGGAGTTTTTAAAATCCCCCAAAGACTCGTACTTTGATCGATACAATTGTGAGCACGCAATATGTTTTTTATTATTAAATTTGCAAGAGCTAGGATGGGAGTAGTTTTTTATAAACAAAATTAAGATGTACGCTGTAAAAATTGCTCTTCCACCCTATAACAAACTAACGAACTGGATTTTAATGAAATAGATGTCCCAGTAGGAAAGTTCAATCGATGTGCCGTTCTGCTGAGGAAGTGATGTGCAAGATTGGGATATTAGGTCGAAATTGGGCCAATACACCATTAAACTCATTTTACAATAATAAATATCTCTTAATTGAAAAATTTAGGGTCCACCAGTTTAGAGAATAACGGAAGTCAACAAAAACACAATTAAATATACTGTTAATAAATTACGAATTAATTACTTTTAATCCCTTTCTAATCGCTTCCGCTTGAAGTTGATTGTTTTCGCTAATCGTTTATTTAAGTAGAGATTCAGGATTATTGAATTTTGGAGTAATAATAAATAAATTGAAATAAATAAATAAAAAATGTTTCGATTTTGATTTAAAACCCGGAACATCAACATAAAAACAGTTAAAGATCAATAAGCTCAGAATTTTTATTTTCAAACAAGGAATTCACTATTAAAGTAAAAATTAAATTGCTGACTGGAATTATAACTTACTCTAAACCACTCTAAAGAATACGAATTCTTTCTGTATGCTTGGTTTGACTCTTATTGCGTCTTTATATTTTCTTTTTGGTACTCCAATCTGCTCGCCAACGCCAACAAATAGCATAAACTTTAAAAATACCTACAGTAAATAAATTGGTTTAAAATGTTAAATTTAAAAAGAAATTGTTTTTAACAATCTACAAAACTTTTGAAAAATTTACTTTTAGCTCATCCGTTAATCCCGAAATTCTGGCTGATAGCTTTTAATGTAAACTAAAAAAATATGAAATTACACACTAAATCTTAAACTTGGTGTTTTAAATTCACCTTTGTTAATGCTGTGAATACCTTTTACTATTCGTACTTTATTTTATTTTAATATTGTTTATTTTTAGTTTTAAACGAGCTCCATTATTACTTTCGGTTTATCAACATTTGTTAACAATTTTTTTGCATTTCCAACAACGTACATACATATTTATTTACATTGCAAATGTACACAATGCGATTAGCTGCACGTGAAAAGTGTATATCCAATAATGATTTTCCTAATGAATATGCATTTCGACTAAAAACTCAACCAACAGCACGAACTTGATTTTATAATAGTTCATTTTATAAATAACATATTTTTATAATATTAGAAAATCAATGCTTCGTCCCGTTTCCGGGCTTAGCTCGACGCTAAGAAATAGCGTGTAATTGCCCGAAGTAAAACGTCTAATCGTTTTTGCAGAATTACAAAGAGAAGGACGCCGGTAAAGTGGTGGTCTACACGACGACGATGGGAATCTTGAGAGAGACGTACCAGGCGTGCATGAAAGTCAAGCAAATCCTCCGCACCCTCCTTATCAAGTTCGAAGAACGAGACGTCTTTATGAGCACCGAATACCAGAACGAGATAAGGGAACGCATGCGTTGCGACCAAATACTCGTGCCACAGGTGTTCGTCGACGGGCAACACGTTGGGGTAAGTCCGATGCAAGGACCCCATCGATCGGCCTTGGGGACGCGAGAAACCGCGATCTTTGCGGGCTTTGATTAGACAGATTCGTGATAGTTCACGAGGAAGGTCGTAGGAGGGTTTCGATCATTCGAACTGTGTTGTAATTTAACACATATACGAAATACTTGAACAATTAATTGTTAAAACTACGTATTTTGAAACACCTGAGATTTCGACAAATATATTTTTATTAATTTGTTGAAAGAGCTGACTCTAAAGTTGTAATACACGGTTTTTATCAGTATTTTTTCTAGTTCCTGTATGAAATACATTGAAATCATTTTTATTAATTTATTTTCGAAAAATGGCTTTAATTACGATGGTAACAAGGTTACTTTTTGTCATTTTTAAAATTACAAAAATCTTATAGTCAGCCTTATCGTTGGTACAAATCCATTCGTGGTAATTTTAATAAAAGAAAAGTGCGAAAACTGGAGTCATAAAAAACTACCACACCCTTAAAATTTCGACGCCATTTGTAATGTCATTTTGCTAAGTAAGATTCAATTTTTCGTAAGAAATAGACAAGGATTCAAAATAATTATAAATGAGAAAGAAGACACCAAAACAACGGCGCTGGTTGCAAAACAAAGTGGCAATTTTTAAACTAAGCTGAAAAAGAACTTAGACCTTTCGAGCTCATTTAAAATATAAAATTAATTACACAAAATTTATTGACAATTTTTATAATATTTGGTTGTAACTTCTTCAGCAGAATATTTTTTTATATTCTCATACACACTCATCTTATTTTTTTTTTGTGGTGAAAAGCACATTTTTTACCCAGAACACTACATTCCTGGATTCTGCTTTTAGAATAAAATACTGATGTTTGTACATATTTGATAGTGAAAGTTTTGACAACATTTTAATTTAAGCATAACGAAATAACTAGAGACGTATTTTCACACCAATGTTTCAATTTAAAAAAACAGACTTGACATCTGTTTAATTCAGAATTTTTGTATTTGTTTGTATCTGTTATTCATGTATGTACACGGGCGACTCGTGTTACACCACAGTGGCACCGGTTAAATATTGGCTAATAATTTTGTTATTTCGCTTTTTTCGAGGCTTTAGAGATAATTTAATTATTTTATTTTGTACTCAATGTTAAAGAGTGCTTTTATCAACTAATTTCAGTAGATAAAGTAGTCTTTGATCGCCTAGTGAAATAAAGTAATTTTATTTTGTACTCAATGTTAAAGAGTGCTTTTATCAACTAATTTCAGTAGTCTTCTAGCGTCAAGTGAAATAAAGTAATTTTTATCTACTGTTTATATTCAAAGAAATTCTTGTAGATGAGTACAAAATAAAACGAAATATTTTACACGTGAAAAAAGTCCACTCGTGTCTTCGTCACACGTAAACTTAACCTTTTCACTCGTACATAAACAATTTCTTTATCGTCTAATAAATAACTAAAATTATTCTTGTAACAATTGATAAATAAGTTGCGATTTCAACGTATGAAGTGCTTCAAATGACCTTATATTTGACTCGGTCGAACGGTCTCTATAGACATTTCAACTCCTAGGATTTGAATAGGTATTTCAACTCCGATTACAAAAAAGACACTTCAACCGTTTCTTCAGCAATACACAAAGGCGCAAATTTCGACCGCTTGAAGATAAAAAATATTTTGAACTTCGAATAAAAAAATATTAATACCTAGTTAAAGCAGATTTTATAGTTTATTACATCCCAAGAGAGCGTCATTCAATCTCTAGTGCGAAATTTATTACCTAACGTTTATTATAAATCTCACTTTGCATAAATTTATACGACTTTAATATGTAGCATGGACGTCCATTTAGATATGCGAGAAAAAAAGGCTACAGAAAGGTAACGAGACCGAGCACTTTTCTTCTGTGTTGTAAAAGCCACAGACTTGGGAGAAAATCCAAACTGTTGGTAAGGCTGTCGGCCGGAAATGCCATATTCTCTCGCACGTGTAGGAAAGGCGTAGTCTCCGTCCGGCGTTCGTCACAAATTGCCTCGTTTACATTTTGATTGTGAGGCATCAGACCTTCATCGACGTGTCCATCCAATCTATAAATAATTCCCCATCGAAGGGTTTATCTTCGGCCTCGGAGATAAAAAGGAGTATCCATCAAACCGTAACTCGGATTTATTATTCATCCAGCGCGAGAGGCGTCCTTTGTCCCGACAGGTCGACGGCGAATTTCCGCTCGATCGAAAAAATTCGAAAAATTCGAAAGCGACACAGTCGAATTGTCCACAATCGAGGCCACCGATGTGGGTCACATCACCATTTTCCAAGACTTAGATCTTGGTGCAATCGAAGAGATTTTATTAGCGAAGTCAAGAAAATTCAATTGCAAGCACACGGATAAAGCGTGTCAAGGCTCCCGGATTTTTTTACGGGCACTAAAGAAGTCCCGATTGCTAAACTAATATTTACGGGACGGAGGTAACGACCCGTGAGGTGCTTTATGGCTACGATAAAGGGGCAACGTTCAAAATTTCATTAAAACGTTTTTTAAAAACACATCATAAAAACAATTTAACCACATTGTAAGAACCACGAGGAATTTCGATTATTCTAATTGAGTTACCTTGTCGACTTATACAAATAAATGTAATCAATCACTCTTTGTGGGTAATTAAGATTGTAATTATTTCGATTTTTAAGTACTTTCACTTGGCGAGTGGGTATTATATAGAAATGTATGAAATGTGTGTGAACACAATCTCTTTTTCATTTCATTTATATTTTAATAGGCCCAGTTTCGCCTAAATTATATATTATTTACGTGGTCACAACCTTTCGGTTGACTTGGATTTGTTTTCATTGGAAGTATAAGTTAAAATATCTTACAAACACCCTAAGTCATGTTTTAATTAACCGTTTATTTATCCATTCTCGAAAATCAAACTTCAACACCCTGAACATTGTTAAACCATTCACTCAATCTCCCCCGTAAGGAAAATATTTGCCTTTACCGTAGGCGGGTATTATCCTAATAAGGTGAAAGCGTCCACTTAAGCCCTTAAATCGCTCCTTGTCGTCCTTCACGCGTGTTGGGAGAAGCGTCTGGTCGAAGGTCACTGTCCTCCTGTGGAATTTTCGAGCGCAGGACTGCATCGGCCCGAAATTTATCGATTGTCTGGAGAAAAATGCGCCCGGAAGTGGGCAAAATGCGACACGCCCGTTGAATTAAATCGGGATTTTCGGCGTTGGGCGAGAAAATAGCCGGGGGCCGACAAGACGGATCCATTAAGTCGCCTCAGGTGCACGACGCGGTCGATACAGCTACGACTAGGTGCTCGCGGTGTCATTCTCCCTCCGAGTGGGAATCCCAACTCCATTTGAGGATTGATATGGCGAGGAGGAAATGAGCATAAAAGACGCGGAGAGTTGTTCGCTGGATGATTACGAGTGTTGGGAGGAGATGGGAAAACCACCTGCTGCTCGGTTTATGGGCCTGGGGGTACGATTGCACAATTACTTTATTACGGTTACACATTTGCTTGTGGAGTTATTTTGTCTGAGAGTTGGAACGCTTCATTGATTTCGCAAACGAAGACTTATTACGGCAGGTGAAAGACATCGGATTTTTCACACACTTTACCCAAAGTTTTCTCGAATTTAATATCGATTAAGTGACGTATCATAAACCCRTAAAGATCTTAGAAAGACTATAAATCATATTACACCAGCAATGTTACAATGTTATAATAATCGACGAAAAATCGGCCAATTTTACGAAAACTACTTATTGCAGGACGTTTTTACTTACTCAATTTATGTTATAGGAGTAGTATATTTGACGTCTGGAAAATCTGTTCTTAGGAAGTTTTTAACGSTGTACGCTATTTACCCATTTTATAAATTAGGTATCAAGGGAGATGGGAGAAGTACCTTATAATACTGTTTTTTTTTGTTATAGATTTGTTCTATGAACGGTTTTAATGCAAATTCATTTTTTAATTAATTATATTAAATGTTTTTTTATTTTTTCCACAATTTGGTAGTGTCCCCAAAGTGGGCATTTAGCAATAAATAGATAAATATTGGATGCGTRTTTCTCAAAAATATGAAATTTTAAGGCAATAAATAAACATTCTCGTTATTCTCGGAATATCCACACAGACAATTTTCTACCCGAAAAAATTCGACATTACCGAGTCTACAGAAAAAGTATGAAAACAAACGTTTTCTGCTTAAACTGTTTACTTTCTACAAAACTAATTTATGAGAAGCAAACTCCTTTTCATTAKTATATTTTATTATTCAATTATTTCAAAAAAAGGTTGTTTTTTAATTCCTTTTTTCTCAGATATGCAGTATAGTTTTAACCAGCAATTACTTGGTTCCATACTTTCTTTGCACTCCGTACAAATACAAGCTGTTCGGTAAAACG